CCCTATGTCCTTGTGGAGCTCAAACAAGACCCACCCTTATGCGTACGGAGCCATAGTTTCACGAAGCTGTATAACACACTAAAAAACAATAATTAAACTTAAAATTTTGTCTTTCTCTTTATATATATATATATATATATATATTCTACCCATAGTGCTTGCAATGTATTTAACTATGTTTCCCTAAAAAATAATGGCTTAATGGTGGAAAACAATAACGCATATATGCATATGTGTATTTATCAACTTCTTTATTCAAAAATACTACAAACAAGTAGAGCATAAATTGGGCAACACCGCTGTACAAATGACCTGTATATGTCCGGCAAAAGTATAAACCATACCTTATGGAGTAGTTAGAAATATTTTATCTCTTATTATTCTAATTATTACACCATAAATTATGTGAAGCCCTTTTTTTTCTCATTAATATAAACTATATAAAGCTCTTGTTCATTCTAAACCCACTGCTTTTGGTTTGCCAAAGGTATGAACCCACTTAAAGTACACGTATGGAAATAAGACAAATACGGAAACGCAAAGAAGGAACACCTGTGTCTTGCGTTAGGTGAGCTGTTTAGGGAAAATTAAGGAAGAGACAGAACCCATATAAGAAGGATTAGGAGACACTTATCGTAAACTTTTCTTTCATCTTTTTAAGAACGTATTATAAACGAAAAGTGTGCATTATATGCATGAATATGCTTAACCAATCATGTTCATTATTCTCTCTACGTAAAGTTTTTTCATTTTACCATATGTAGGCTGCAATATTTCAGAGATTTTCTTTTGTTTGCGGATGTACACATATCTTATTATTGAAAACTAATTCAATCTTTAAAAATAACAATTGTTACTGATGGGGCAAAAATACATACCCCACGGTATATTTTTTCCAACTTTTAAGACAAAATACTGATGGAAAATGCACTTAAAAAGATATTAACTGGAAATTATTAGACTAGGGTAGAGAAAGCACAAAAGTCAAAAACATGTTCTAGCAACTCATATTCTCCTTTCAACTTTGATTTTTTTTTCTTCTTCTTTCGTTTTCTAATAAAAAACAACTTATCAATATAGTGCGGATTAGCAAAAAAGTCAATATAGAGTGGTCTGTCCAAATAAATTTAAGAAGAAATGTATTTCTCATATGATGTATAAATCCACCATATGATATATAAATCCATCACCAAGATAAATTAGCTTGGTGTTAAATTCCTTATCCAATCAATGTGTTTTTATCAAATAGTTTAGATTGGTATTATCACACTCATCGCATAAATACACTGCGTTGGCTAAAGATGACACACTAAAGTTTGACAAAGATTATTAAGATTAGCTCGTGTAAGTAGATCATTATTATTTTGTGTTGGGGTCCAGATAAGAAAGAATCTCAACAAAAAGGACTAATCAGCAAAATAAAGTACGCCCTTTTCAGTTTTGATCATCTTCTTTAAGAGAATGACTATCAGATGCACTAAAAAAAAAAATCATGTGACAAAATCCTTCCAATATTAAACAGACGTGAGCAAAAAGACCATCAATACAATAGATTTCTAAATTTAAAGAAATAATTGTAAGAATTCTAAATTTAGAAATTGATTTATCTAACACGATAAATTGAGAGGGTAACCATGTAAAAAAAAAAACTCGTTCCTCTGAACAGAACCACCGACAGTGTTCCGAAAAGGCCAAAAAAGAGACTACAGTCTGGTCATGTAAAGCTCTCTCTCCAATAATATGAGAAAATAACAAGTCGAAATTGGGAGTAATGGTGCAAGTTTGCGGTAAGCTTTTTCATATTCCCTATGCTTTATGCAATTTAAACCATATTTTTCTGTCATCAAAAGAAGAGCCCTCTAAAATGTGACTTTCTTCTTCTCTCTAGTTAAAGACAAATCTGTTCTGTGTTTCCCTCGATAACATCAAGCCATGTCACAAATGTTTCCCTTTCTTTAGGCTCCAAAAAATAAAAATTCAAGAATTTTGCATAAATTATAAACTTCACAGTTTACTCTCTCTGAGGAAAGATAAATAAAAAAAATTGAGAAAGTACATATCTTAAAAAATTATATTCGGAAGTTCCTCGAAAAGGGATCAGTCGCGTGGCACGTGTTTCCTTAATTTTAGGATTTGAATCCTTTGGGATTGGACTTGAAACTTACCAGGGGACTTCAACATTGATATCTTGTGATCAGGGAAGGAAAATCGACATTTTTATTGAAATTTTTTACTATAGAAATAAAGGTGAAGTATATTTTATACTAATTTCATGAAATTTTTATAGAAATTTTCATAAATTCGATATTCTTATGAAATATCCATTTTGAGAATAACATATAGATGACCAAATATCATGAAAATATTATTGAAATTTCATAGAAATATTGGTAAAATTTTCACAAAAATTTATGTAACTTTACATTTACTTTCAGTTTACTTTTCAAAAATGTAAAAGTTATGTTTTTTTTATTTTTTTATCTGAACTTAGCCTCTCTATTTTTTCGTTCTTTACTTGATTTGTGAACACGTACTTAACATTTATGGTATTATGATCACATAATTAATATTTTGATTGAGAGTTTTATTTAACTAATATATTATCATATATTTTAGAATATTTTAAAGTCTCATTTGAAAAATAAAGAGTTTTAGTATGAATTTCTATTATTACGTTAATTTTCAACGATATTGATATTTCCGTAAAATTTAAGTATTGATATTTTCATAAATATCGATATTTTCATTCTTATTTGTGATGTGGCATTAACTGAATAACGTCCCGATAGTTGAATTTTGAACCTAGCAAAGGATACATCGAAAGAACACTGAACGTCTCCTGAGATTAAGGGTTTAGGGTTGACGCTTGTTAATGTTCTAAAAGGAATATCTTGGAATTTCCTCAGTCACTTCTATTAACTAGTTATGTATATAAACCATAATGAATCCAAAGATTCTTTTCAATCCCTTTGCCTATAATAGCACACTTGGTTTCATATTTTAGTGATTAGATATTGTATCCGATCCTTTACTCTTATATTTTGTTATTAAGTAATACTAGAGATACCAACTCAAATCTTATTTTTTATATATTAACTAATATGATATGTGAGTTGTTATCTTCTTATTACTAGATGTAATCTCATTTATTAATTAACGTGATAATACTTTAAACACCCACTAATAAAAAAGTGAACTCATATATCATATCAATAAATACACAAAAATTAAAATTTAAGTCCATATCCATAGCATTATTCTTTACTATTTTTCGTTGTCAAAATTGTTTATTAGTCTTCAACGCAGGACTGCCCTCCGTAGATATAGCCCAGAACCCCATACGGCAAGGAACAACAGAGAATGATGGTAAACGACATAATAGGAACAAGAGTTGTTGAGAAATCCACTCCACAAATTATTCCTTGATGGTAAACGGCACAGTAGGAACAAGAGCTGTTTAGAAATTCACTCCACAAATTATTCCTTGTTATGTACGGCCTCATGATATACATATATTTCCAATCTGTACTATTTCATTAACCGTGTGATACCTTGTTTTACGTGCAAAGATTTATAACTTGTCCATTTTCATCAAAATTCAAAAAAAATTTAAATTTAAATTTAAATTACAACTTTATTCAAGTTCATATTTTTTTTTATAAAATTTGAATTTAGAGTTAAAATCTGAGTTTAAATTCTCCCTTCAACTTAAGTTCATAAACTCAAACTAGTTAATGAACGTTATTTTTTTTATTACTAAAAACAGCATAACTTTTTCGTTTTAATTCCGATTGAGATGATTATTTTTTCTATGCATGCACAACAAAAAAAAGAATAAAACTCCACCCATATACCTTATTAAAATTTTCTATCACCATTGAATTTTTATTAAAATACTATCCAAATATAAATTCAAGTTTTGATCCACCAAAACACAAACTCAAATAGATTTTCAATTCAAACCATAACTTAAAATGTACACATCCAAATACAAACTCAAATTAGAATCATAACTCAAACCATACTCAAATACACTTTAACTCAAAATTAAGATCTAAACTTTAGACATTTGACGTTGGAGATCTGAAATATAAGGGATGTACCCGCTGCAACCCTTTGCCAATTATTGTAAGCGTTGCATTGAGTTTTTTTGAACATATTTCTAATTCTACTACACTGGCAAATAAACACATAAAGAACTCAACAAGTAATCTAGGTATAGATACAAAAGTAAAAAATAAAAAATAAAAAACAGAAATAGTAGAAAATAGGCCAATATGAAAAGCTTAAAAAAGTATATAGGCCAATTTTTAGTTATATAAATTAATAGGTCATAACTTGTCAAAATATAATTCATAACCAAATAAGTTATAGACAAACTTGTCAAGTTATGATTCATAACCAAACAAGTTATAGACAAAAACCGTGAATAACTTGTCAAGTTATGATTCATAACCAGACAAGTTACGGACAAAAACAGTAATTTAACTTATTTATTAACTTATGTAAACTATTGACCTATTAAATTTAATTCATCTCAAGTCTCGACTTATTTCCCTTTCTCCCAATAAAAAATAGCTTAAAATAACTGTAAGGTATGGCCCTGTTTTGAATGGTTAACCCTGCTGATAGATGACTTTCAATTTTGCGTACATTTTCGTTTTGATATGATTTTATCATCAGCTTTTGGTTGCATTGAAGACACTCCACACAAAGAAGAAACTTTGGAAATACAATCCATTACAATCATGGCTTTCAAAAAAATCCTATTCGAGCTGATTATACACCTAGATTAACAGACACGAGACAATCCGGGACAACCACATTTATCCTCCAGGGATCTTAGCCAATCAGCCAACGTTTCCGTTGCCAATTTGTAAATAACATTACAAAAAGTATCAGGACGAAAATGATAAGCATGCACTTGAGTGTAGAAATTAACAAATCTTATATCAGAACAAGTCGATATAATCTCTCATTTTTTGACCTGATAAACAAGTTCACAAAATCTCGTCCCGATCTACATCAGCAAGTGCACACAATGCATAAAAAGAAATAAGATCCCATAAACTATATCCAAAAAAGCAAGAATAAACGCATGAAAACAACTGTCTATAGATAATAAACCTTTCTCTTGATAACAAGAATTTTTTAAACAACTTCTAGCATCGGGACAGTGGACATATCCCCCCGGACGACTGAAATCTTAAACAACAACTCTTGAAGCTCCCCCCAAAAATTAAAAGTTTATCACCACACAACATACAACGGACAGGAAATATCAAACTCAGCATTTTGAAGCAGATTAACAAGGGGGCCAATTATATTAGCCTCAATGACAGCCTATCAAATTTTCACCAAGCACATATGGGTGTAGATTAGATTGGGATCAAGTTTCATATCACTCATCACCATGGGTTGCAAATGGACAACAAAAGAGAAGACACTTGACTAATGTTAGATAAGTTCAGATATGCAAAATACCTGAATCTGGTCCTTGTTTCCCGCTGTGATATTCGATATCGTCCAGCATGCTTCTTTCTTGATGCTCTTCTTATGATTGGTATTCAATAAATTCAGCAAACAAGGTAAAGCTTGATGCTGAATGATGACCTGAAGAGTAGTAACAACAGCTAATTACCGCAAGACTAAATCACCGACCTAAAGTAAAAATGACAAACTTCTAATATACGTTTTGAACTACAATTTAAGAACACATTGATAAGTAAAAACTGCACATAGAAAGGCAGGTTATTGGAATTTGAGAAGGTATAACTTCTTAACAACATATGATAAATGAGTTTTACATTAGAGAAACTTTCATGGAGGGAAAAGAATTAAGCAAATCACTCTTAACAACATAATATGTATTTTTACATTTGTTGAAACAAGATTCAAGCAAATCACTCTTGTTGCACAGAACCATAGTATTAGTTCATGAGTCGGACTTAACACATATTTTCTTTTTCAAAAGTAAACGCACAGACTGTTTTGCTTTCTTTTCCTTGTAAATAAAGCAAATCAATATGGGATAAAAATAAACCATCTAGCCCAAGACCAACCAATACCTGCGTTTGCAAATCATCTCCAGTGACAATATTTCCAACAGTACGAAGAGCAGGAATTAGTACTGAAGGAGATGGATGGCTGGAAAACAAGCATAGTTTCAGTAAAAAGTTTTTTACAGGAACCATATAGAAACAGCTCAAAAGCAATTAAGGGCTATAAAACACTCACAGTAAAAGCTCAACAAGCCGAGGGCATACTCCTGATTCAATAACTGCTTGAATTTTATCATTTGTTCCATCAGAAAGGTAAGAAAGTGCCCAACATGCATCTGTCAAAACTTCTTCATCATTTGAATGAATAAGGCGTGCAAGAGCTGGAAGTGCAGGCTTAACCTGTGTTAATGATCAACCAAATGCCCTTCAGAATTCCAAGTCGCTCAATTCGTATAAAGTCGCATGGCCAAGGAACAGTAAAACAGATATACAGAATGTAAGGAGTTATCAATTATAAATGCAGGTATTGTTGACTAAAAGTTGAAGCCACTTGATATTTCCAGAGTCATAGCAAAAACAATCAAACCTGTTCAAAAGAAGGTTGTGGCTTGCCCCTGCAGAAGTTTGAAAGTGTCCATGTCGCATTTCTTAGCATAGAGAGTTTGGCATGCTCATTTAATTGTGCCAGCAAGGGAACCAAGGCCCCACTAGTGAGCACAAGATCACGACATCTGGGAGAATCACCAGCAACATTTCCTAAGGCCCAAACAGCCTACAAATTTTAAAGGGAGAAATATGTCAAGAAATTGATGCAATTGTTATAAATTGATCAACTGAACAGGACATCCACAACCTAAGATACTACTAAGGAACACCAGCCTCTCCTTCTCTTCCCCATTTAGGAGTCATCTGAGGATAACTCAGTCATAACCATTGGTAGATTGAAGAGAGGAGTGTTGTTTAAGAAAGGCACGTACTATGAACTGAATACCTAATAAGACACTCCATTTGCCATAAATAAGGTGCAACATAGAAACACATACAAAATATAAGATACTCCAAAAGAAGGAACAGCAATATCCATATCTTAAAATTCTATACCTGCTCACGGACATCATCACTCGGAGAGCCAAGAAGTTTAACAAATATGGGCACAGCTCCATGGTCAATTACCACCTTTGTGTTCTCAGAAGTCCCAGAAGCAATGTTTGTGAGAGCCCAAGCTGCCTCAAACTGCAGGAGGATAATTACAAGCATTAAGAACTACAAAATTGTATGCACTACAACATTAGGGACCCTTGTGAAGGTGTGTAAAGTAACCTGAAGCTGAGGGAAATCCTCTCTCATCAGAAACTCAACAAATCGAGGGACAACTCCAGATTGTATGACCTCCTCAATCGGAGGACTTCTTTCTGTAGTGGAAAAAGCATCATAAATAAACAAATCTAATAAGAAAAAAGTTGATAAATAATTACACAGCAGTAGCAAAAGTGCTGACCAATTGAAAGCAGCTTCCTAAACTGAGTGGTTGCCTCCAGCTGCAGAGCACTATCATCAGACCAAACACCCGCTACCATGGACGGTAGATGCTCTAGCTGCATTAGGAAAACCAAATTAAAACAAGTATAATCCAAAAGGACCACAACTAGATCAACGACTTCAACCGATCTCTCAAAAACATCTTCATTATACAGTTAGATTGCCATTAGAAAAATGAAACAAGAGGTGGACGGAGGACATTAAAGTAATTTATATTTATATCTATAAACACATATACACATATTTCAAGAATATACAAGTGCTTAGTTTCAATCATTAACAACATTTACAGAACATGCCTCCCAAACCTTAAAACTCAGTCTGAATAAGATTACACAAAACACAATTTAACACTGAGCCCAACCAAGAAGTTGGACAGCCCATATGTAATCCAATCAACCCGCTGTTCTCACAAAACAAATATCATGATATGAGAGCCACAAAATGACTACATTATTTAGACAATTTAATACCAGAATGTAAAGTCGCCTAGCAGGAAACAAACTACCAAAAAAAAAAAAAGAAGGCAAAGTTCATTCTTTTCCAACAGTTAAAATGAAACAAACAGTAGACTAAGTCATCCACTTAGCTAATCCATCGAAAGCCAAGCAATTCCAGTAACTGTTCAAATCAATCCGAATCAACAAATTAACGAAGCAAATCAACAAAATCAATCGCATTTAAAAAGCTTATCAGTGGATTAGTGAAAACAATACAAAAATTCTCAAACACAATGGGAAATGAAAAAAAAAAAAGAAGTGATTGGAGACCTTCTTCTCCAAGGCGGAGGTGGGGACAGAAGCGGGCAATTGCTGGGGCTGAAGTCCCTCGCGGCGCTTCTTCTGGAGGCTCTCCTCTCTGCGGCTCTTCCTGATCTCCACCATGTGGTCCTCGCGACGGCGCCGGCCCTCCTCGGCGTCGACGGCGACCTTGTACCGGTTCCGGCGGACCTCGGTCCTCGCGCTCGGCCTCAACGACATCGTTTCCGAAACCTGATGAGCTGAATTCGAAACCCTAGAGAGAGAAAGCGAGGGTTTTTGGGCAGAGAGAGAGAAGGAGAGAGAGAGAGAGAGGAGGGTTTTGATCTTTTGAAGAGTTTGAAGAGAGAGGGATAGAACAGAGAGGTTATATATAGCATTGTTGGGGAGGCGATGTGGTCTGTAAATGGGCTTGGATCGGCCTGAAATTACGAAACTACCACTCGGTTTGAATTTGAAGATGAGGGAAAAAGTGAGTTTGATTGGCGAAGGGGAGAGAGAAAGATTTGTAAAGGATGAAAAAAAAAGTGTTGGTGCTTGTCCCTTTGGGATGCCATTGGCAATAACCCATGTTTGTAGCTTTCTTATCCAAGTATTAATCCTGGAAAAATAACAATAACAGTAACAATAAGTTAGTATATTATTCTCAAGATAAAAAGAAAAAAAAAGAAACAAAGGATCAACCCCTTATTTATAAGATAGTTTGACAAATTTTGGTTCAACAAAAATTTTAAATTGCTTTTTCTACTAAAAATGAATAAAATGGGGTAAGTTTTATGGTACGCCCATCATGTTCTGTGGTGAACTAGAAAAATATCACTTTAATATTCGATATCGTCCAGCATGCTTCTTTCTTGATGCTCTTCTTATGATTGGTATTCAATAAATTCAGCAAACAAGGTAAAGCTTGATGCTGAATGATGACCTGAAGAGTAGTAACAACAGCTAATTACCGCAAGACTAAATCACCGACCTAAAGTAAAAATGACAAACTTCTAATATACGTTTTGAACTACAATTTAAGAACACATTGATAAGTAAAAACTGCACATAGAAAGGCAGGTTATTGGAATTTGAGAAGGTATAACTTCTTAACAACATATGATAAATGAGTTTTGCATTAGAGAAACTTTCATGGAGGGAAAAGAATTAAGCAAATCACTCTTAACAACATAATATGTATTTTTACATTTGTTGAAACAAGATTCAAGCAAATCACTCTTGTTGCACAGAACCATAGTATTAGTTCATGTCTTCATGAGTCGGACTTAACAAATATTTTCTTTTTCAAAAGTAAACGCACAGACTGTTTTGCTGTCTTTTCCTTGTAAATAAAAGCAAATCAATATGGGATAAAAATAAACCATCTAGCCCAAGACCAACCAATACCTGCGTTTGCAAATCATCTCCAGTGACAATATTTCCAACAGTACGAAGAGCAGGAATTAGTACTGAAGGAGATGGATGGCTGGAAAACAAGCATACTTTCAGTAAAAAGTTTTTTACAGGAACCATATAGAAACAGCTCAAAAGCAATTAAGGGCTATAAAACACTCACAGTAAAAGCTCAACAAGCCGAGGGCATACTCCTGATTCAATAACTGCTTGAATTTTATCATTTGTTCCATCAGAAAGGTAAGAAAGTGCCCAACATGCATCTGTCAAAACTTCTTCATCATTTGAATGAATAAGGCGTGCAAGAGCTGGAAGTGCCGGCTTAACCTGTGTTAATGATCAACCAAATGCCCTTCAGAATTCCAAGTCGCTCAATTCATATAAAGTCACATGACCAAGGAACAGTAAAACAAATATACGGAATGTAAGGAGTTATCAATTATAAATGCAGGTATTGTTGACTAAAAGTTGAAGCCACTTGATATTTCCAGAGTCATAGCAAAAACAATCAAACCTGTTCAAAAGAAGGTTGTGGCTTGCCCCTGCAGAAGTTTGAAAGTGTCCATGTTGCATTTCTTAGCATAGAGAGTTTGGCATGCTCATTTAATTGTGCCAGCAAGGGAACCAAGGCCCCACTAGTGAGCACAAGATCACGACATCTGGGAGAATCACCAGCAACATTTCCTAAGGCCCAAACAGCCTACAAATTTTAAAGGGAGAAATATGTCAAGAAATTGATGCAATTGTTATAAATTGATCAACTGAACAGGACATCCACAACCTAAGATACTACTAAGGAACACCAGCCTCTCCTTCTCTTCCCCATTTAGGAGTCGTCTGAGGATAACTCAGTCATAGCCATTGGTAGATTGAAGAGAGGAGTGTTGTTTATGAAAGGCATGTACTATGAACTGAATACCTAATAAGACACTCCATTTGCCATAAATAAGGTGCAACATAGAAACACACACAAAATATAAGATACTCCAAAAGAAGGAACAGCAATATCCATATGCTTAAAATTCCATACCTGCTCACGGACGTCATCACTCGGAGAGCCAAGAAGTTTAACAAATATGGGCACAGCTCCATGGTCAATTACCACCTTTGTGTTCTCAGAAGTCCCAGAAGCAATGTTTGTGAGAGCCCAAGCTGCCTCAAACTGCAGGAGGATAATTACAAGCATTAAGAACTACAAAATTGTATGCACTACAACATTAGGGACCCTTGTGAAGGTGTGTAAAGTAACCTGAAGCTGAGGGAAATCCTCTCTCATCAGAAACTCAACAAATCGAGGGACGACTCCAGATTGTATGACCTCCTCAATCGGAGGACTTCTTTCTGTAGTGGAAAAAGCATCATAAATAAACAAATCTAATAAGAAAAAAGTTGATAAATAATTACACAGCAGTAGCAAAAGTGCTGACCAATTGAAAGCAGCTTCCTAAACTGAGTGGTTGCCTCCAGCTGCAGAGCACTATCATCAGACCAAACACCCGCTACCATGGACGGTAGATGCTCTAGCTGCATTAGGAAAACCAAATTAAAACAAGTATAATCCAAAAGGACCACAACTAGATCAACGACTTCAACCGATCTCTCAAAAACATCTTCATTATACAGTTAGATTGCCATTAGAAAAATGAAACAAGAGGTGGACGGAGGACATTAAAGTAATTTATATTTATATCTATAAACACATATACACATATTTCAAGAATATACAAGTGCTTAGTTTCAATCATTAACAACATTTACAGAACATGCCTCCCAAACCTTAAAACTCAGTCTGAATAAGATTACACAAAACACAATTTAACACTGAGCCCAACCAAGAAGTTGGACAGCCCATATGTAATCCAATCAACCCGCTGTTCTCACAAAACAAATATCATGATATGAGAGCCACAAAATGACTACATTATTTAGACAATTTAATACCAGAATGTAAAGTCGCCTAGCAGGAAACAAACTACCAAAAAAAAAAAAAGAAGGCAAAGTTCATTCTTTTCCAACAGTTAAAATGAAACAAACAGTAGACTAAGTCATCCACTTAGCTAATCCATCGAAAGCCAAGCAATTCCAGTAACTGTTCAAATCAATCCGAATCAACAAATTAACGAAGCAAATCAACAAAATCAATCGCTTTTAAAAAGCTTATCAGTGGATTAGTGAAAACAATACAAAAATTCTCAAACACAATGGGAAAAAAAAAAAAAAAAAGAAGTGATTGGAGACCTTCTTCTCCAAGGCGGAGGTGGGGACAGAAGCGGGCAATTGCTGGGGCTGAAGTCCCTCGCGGCGCTTCTTCTGGAGGCTCTCCTCTCTGCGGCTCTTCCTGATCTCCACCATGTGGTCCTCGCGACGGCGCCGGCCCTCCTCGGCGTCGACGGCGACCTTGTACCGGTTCCGGCGGACCTCGGTCCTCGCGCTCGGCCTCAACGACATCGTTTCCGAAACCTGATGAGCTGAATTCGAAACCCTAGAGAGAGAAAGCGAGGGTTTTTGGGCAGAGAGAGAGAAGGAGAGAGAGAGAGAGAGGAGGGTTTTGATCTTTTGAAGAGTTTGAAGAGAGAGGGATAGAACAGAGAGGTTATATATAGCATTGTTGGGGAGGCGATGTGGTCTGTAAATGGGCTTGGATCGGCCTGAAATTACGAAACTACCACTCGGTTTGAATTTGAAGATGAGGGAAAAAGTGAGTTTGATTGGCGAAGGGGAGAGAGAAAGATTTGTAAAGGATGAAAAAAAAAGTGTTGGTGCTTGTCCCTTTGGGATGCCATTGGCAATAACCCATGTTTGTAGCTTTCTTATCCAAGTATTAATCCTGGAAAAATAACAATAACAGTAACAATAAGTTAGTATATTATTCTCAAGATAAAAAGAAAAAAAAAGAAACAAAGGATCAACCCCTTATTTATAAGATAGTTTGACAAATTTTGGTTCAACAAAAATTTTAAATTGCTTTTTCTACTAAAAATGAATAAAATGGGGTAAGTTTTATGGTACGCCCATCATGTTCTGTGGTGAACTAGAAAAATATCACTTTATAGTGTGTTTGGTAGGGTAGAAAAGAAAGAAAAGAAAATAGATGAATGATTTTACAAAGGAAAATGAAATTTTCGGTTCTTTAGTAGAGAGAAAATGAGAAATGAAGGAAAATGAAAATTCATGGGGCCCACCAATTTTTAATCATTCCAACTTTAAAAAGAAAAGATGAGGAAAAAAGTTTAACAAAAAACTGAGATATAAAATAACAATTTTAACCTGCATTATTCATCATATTTTTATTTATATTAGGGTATTATTATAAAATGTCTTAAATTTAATATTTTCTTTTCATTTTTCTTTCTCTTCTACCAAACAACATAAGAAAAAATCATTTTACTTCCTTCACCTAAGTATTTTACTTCTCTTTCCTTCTTCTTTTCTACCCATCCTACTAAACATAGAGAGGTAGTAGCCAAATACTCATCGTGAATTTATGGTTAATATGCAAACCAATTCAAAACTTTTGGATTAGAACTTTGCTACCAATCTAAAATCTAATGCAATCTAATTGAAAAAAGTATAGAAAAAAAATTCAAAAATGCACTTAATCTAGTAAAAAAATACTATTTACGTCACTCCAAACAATTAACATTTAATTAATAAAGAGAAAAATAAAATGCAATAATAACACTTAATTATTTTGAATTACATAAATAATAGACTTGTACAAAACTTATATTTCTCAAAAAAAGTATCGGGTTAACTTTAGTAGATTGATTTGTATGGGTTATGTGGATTGAGCCAAGGTGTTGGGCCTCTAAATTTAGGTCCTATAGGTAGTACAATGGACTACCACCAACAAAATTGTATATGCTAGTGCCGGTACATGGAAACAGCTGTAAATCTCTAGCAATATGTGAGACTACCTTAAGTAACATGACAGGTCGTAACGCTAGAAACTATTGACTCCGAAATAGATGGTGGGTGACGATCAGTAACCTGCTATAATGAAGTCATTTATTGCAAAAATTTCTTTTTATTGGTAAACATCATGGAGTTTATTTTTCAAAAAACAAAAAAACAAAAAAAAAAAACTAATAAGAAGGGTTGACTGGATTAATTTTCAAATTTTAAAACTTCCCAATAATTTTGGATATTTTTTCTTTATACATGTTTGTTTTAACCCCAAAAAAAAAAATCCTTAATTTTCTTAACAGAACAAGTACATAACCAACTAATTCTTGACAAACATTTTTTTTTTTTTTGAAAAAAAAAAGCCAGGCTGAAAATGAAAGTGCAAATAAAAAGCTAAAATTTTTTAAAGTATTCTGTTCATTTAGGCATCCATCACAAATTTTTTTTTTAAAACAAAAAAAAAAATAACAGTGGCAAATATACAATATGTCCAGTTGCTAAGATATACTCCTCAATGGGTATGTGCAAGTATAAGACTAGATTTGTGGTGGTCAATGCTCGTCTCACAAAAAATTTTGTAAATTTGGCTCTATGCACTTTTTAGGAATAGTTATTCATATATACCACTTTGTTGCTAAAATTAGGCTTAATTTTTCTTTAAAAATGATATTTTAAATTTCAATTATTTTTATGTATTCCTCTAATTCAACCAAAAATTAGAATTAGTTGAAGTCTTACGACCCAATGGCCAAATTGATGATAAAATGGTGATACAAGTTACAACAGGACAACTTGACTCTAAAACAACAAGAAATTTGGTGGGTTGTTCATAGGGACAAAAGGGTTTGGATGGTGTTAGCGCACTTGACACGAAATGAAAAGCGGATCAAAATTAGTCTCAAAAAATCACTTAGCCTTAAATCGATTTGTCTTTCTTAACCAATGGTTAAACTTGGGTATAAGATAGCTTGAGTAGACCAAAACCTTACAGAATAGTTTGCATATTTCTACTACTCTTTTTAAGACAACCATCTCAATAGCTATAGACCTTATTCTTTAAAATTAAATTCAAGTTTTGCATAAAAAAGTTAATTTGTTTTTTACGTGTAATTAAATGATGAAACTCGAGTTAAGTGGACAAGGTCGGCTATTTCCTTTTGAAAACCTTAAGCTGCAACCAGGAGTACGCTATGGGTTTTGACACGAGGATTCAACTTAAACATGTTATGAAATTTGGTGGTCTAGGATTTGGAAAAAACAAAGAAGTGCAAACCAATTTACGGTGTGACGTTCGTAACAGTTCTCATATGTACTTGTAACTTTTTAGTATGCCACAATAATATTGAAGTAAGTTTAATATGAGTTGTACATGAACGTACAAACAAATATTACAATGACAAACAAAATATAAATTAAGTGTCGGATGAATACAACCGCCGGGAGACATTCCGGGAATAATAATATGGGCCCAGTGATACCTTTTTTTCATGTGGCAACTTTGTAGTCATACAGTGACGAGTGACACTAAGATTGTTATTATGTTTGTACATGTTAGAAAAAGGATATGAAGCTAATTCTAAAGCCTTGGAAATGTTGTTTACAATTCTTGTGAATCACAGCACCTCATAGACAAGTTGCAAAAAGAATGGTCAAGTTGGCGTCCATTTATCCATTTGCACCGCAACGCTGGCTGCCAAGCGCACACCTAACGCACACAAAAACAACTATCCGCCGAAGGCATATGCCTCCAACGAATATATATACATCTCATACGTTAGTTAAGCAACAATAATATAAGACTAGTATTCCTTGTTTCTTGGTCGGAGGAATTATAGGGTGCGTTTAAAATTATTTTTGAAAATATTTTCACACGTTTTTTGAGACACGAAAACGAAAACGGTCTATAAATCGCGTTTGTTTAATAAAAGTTTTGAAAACAAAAATGAAAACAAAAAATAATTGAAAGTTATTTTCCCTCTTCCGTTTTCATTTTCTAGCACTTATCAACATAGTTATGTTAAATAATTAATTAGTAATTAGTAATTATACTATCTATTAATTAATAATTAATAAATAGATATACTTAATAACTAATGAATAGATAGTAATTACTTAATTATTAATTAAATATGAATTTATTACTATTAAGTTTTTAATTTTATCAATAAAATAATAAATAATATAGTAATTAATTATTTAGTTAAAGATTAATTACCAAAAATTAATTATATAGCATATTAACAATAAAACAAGTAATAATAGGTTATTAAATAAATAATTAATAATTAATATATCAATCATATATTATGTTAATTGTAATCTATTAATTAGTAAATTGTTGGTAAATAAAAAATAAATAGTAATTACTCAATTAATAATAAATATTAAATTATAATTACCAATATGTAATATACTAATCAATAATAATTAATAATTGATAATTATTAATTAATTATTATAAAATGAATAATTACCAAAAATTGATCATGTGATATATCAAATAATAGATTATTAAATAAACATTAGTAATTAATTAACTAATTATTTAATTATGTAATTCAAAGTTAATAATTTAAGTAGTAAATAGAATATTAATAAATTATGTATATATTAATTATTTTTCTTAATACACTAATTAATTACTTATAATCTTATAAATATGAGGACATTACTAACATAGTAATTACCTATAATTAATTACTAATTACTATTTTTTAATTATTTAGTATATTGATTTATTATATATAATTTAATTACTAATGTACACAATAATGATAATTTATCCATTATTATATTATTAATATATTAATTTTTATTTACTAAATAATTATCAATTATTAATTACTTAATATTAATTTAAGATTATAAATTATATGTACTCAAAATAAACATAAATGTAACCAAACATGATTTTATTTTTTTATCATACTTAAACTAATCTCTTGAAAGACTACCAAACGTAATTTCAGAATCAATTTTAAAATCAGTTTGAGAATGATTTTCAAAACAATCTCATTTTCATTTTTGTATCAAAAATAAAACTATTTCGAAAACATTATCAAACGGACCCGTAGTGTTTTTTTTTTTTTTTTTTAAATTACATTCATAGTTTGGTTTAAAAATAGCTACAAGCCAATTATTTTAATTAACCCTTCTTTTGCTTATTATTTTTTGTTCTGGAGAACCCGAGTAGAAGCCAATCCAACTATACCCTTTTGACCAGAAAAGCAATACACATGGGACGTCAACTTTGAAGAAGCCACTGAATAATAACATTTCACAACCACCAAAGTAGTAGCCTAGCTAGTAGCATTGAACTTACTCTGAAGTGGTTCGATAGATAAGAACTTTTAGGTATGTTGGCCGCACATAAAGAATTGTTCCCATAGACATTTTTAAAAAATAACATGGTAATATAATCGCCGGTTTGGCCATTCATTATTAATTAAAATTAAAATCCGTTCATTTCACCGATATAAATTTAAAATTTAAATTCAAATTTTATTACAGTAAAAAACTTTAAAAAATAATCACATTTAATCTTTTTACTACAATAAAAAAGTCTCACATAAAATCGCATTTAACTCAAATTAAAAACTCAAATCAACATTTAAAAACTCAAAGCAAAGGAAGAATAATATTAAGGGCCTGTTCTTTTGCAAGTATTCTTGAGTTAAGTTTTTTAGTTGAGTTTGAGTTGAGTTTGAGTTATAACTTGAGTTGTAGTTATAACTTGAGTTTGTGTTTGGTTGTGTAAACTTAAGTTATAATTTGAGATTAGAATTTACTTGAGTTTGTGTTTGTTTCAACTAATTCTTGAGTTGTGAATAGTATCCTGAATTTTTTTTTCTTTCATTTAATTGATTTTATGTAATTTAATTTGAATAAATAAAACTGAATCATCTATAAGTAGTAATAAATTTAAAAACAACATAGTCATTTTCATCATTTAATAAATTAAAATACCATATAAAAAATTACTAGAAGATGAGTTTCCATTATAAATGGAGAGCAAATAGTCACAAATATATACATAATTAATATCACAATTCTCCATACACTATTATTAGCCCGTACGACGATTACGGTACACTGCCCACATTGTATGCGCTCTTGCATCCCTTAACGCATTCATCTCCAGTTCCGGTTCATTATTCAATAGTTGTCCTTCGTGGTTGTTATTGTCATTGATATCCTCTTCAACATTCTATGGATCAATGTCAGCAACTGGAACGCCATCCTGTGAGTACTGATCTAATAGTCTATCTCCAGTACAGTACATATGGATAAAATTATGAACTATAGCACATGCAACCGGAACCTTAACTTACTTTTCAATGGGGTAACGGTTAATGGTTTTCAAAATACGAAATCTGGCCTTCCACACACTAAATGTTCTTTCGATTACATTACGCAGGGAGGAGTGCGTGTAGTTGAACAATTCACGTTCACTGCGGAAGCCTCTACCCCGTCGATTCCTATACTCTTGCAAATGGTATGTTGTTCCCCGATATGGTGCCATGAAACATCCGTTGTTTGCGTAGCCTGAGTCGACGAGGTAGAATTTTCCTACATGTATGTAAGTAATCACAATCAACACTTATAATCTAGATGCAGTTTCTGAATAACGTGTAGATGTACATAGAGGCGTTTTTCCCACATACCTGGTGGCGGAATCGGAAATCGTTTCCGCGGGTGATCTAACGCGGACGCAAGTACTCTCGCATCATATGCTGAACCCTCCCAGCCAGATAGCATGTACGTAAATCTCATATCAAATCAGCAAACTGCAAGCACATTAAGCGAGAAGAATCCCTTTCTATTTCTGTAAAGTTTGGCCGTTTCACGGGGAGGCACACATGGAACGTGCGTACCATCTAGTGCTCCAACACAATCCTTCAAATTAACAAACTTACATACATTGTTATGCAATGATATAGTTAAACTCATTGAGAGATAAAAAATAACTAAAATTATGAAGTAGAGAAATAAATTTATGTATAAGTTCGTAACTTACATCGAACCACGGCGAATACTTGTTCCCACCTGCAATTATGTGAGGATCGACGGCAGTAAAATCTGGATGTCATATGAAGTCTACTTTTAATTGGCAAACCGCTTCAACTACTTTTGTGAAATACTCCGATACCGTAGATCCCGAGCGCTGCCAATGGTCCTGCGCTTCCCTATTAGTTTAGTTTTGACACAGTATTGTAAGGAATATGAATAATTGCTCGTCAACATTAAGGTTGACTGTCGGTTGCAGTAATCCCCTTTCCTCAAGGATAGAAGATAGGCGTCTAAAAGTGTCATTACTCATGCGAACTTTATCATAAATCACTTCTGGACTCCCATTAAGATAGTAGTCCACTCTAATCCTACCTCCCCAACCAGAAGTGTGCCTTCGACGTAATGGTTCTCTATACACAAATCTTACGCATAACAAAGTGGTAGCCGCGACAACATGCCTAAAATAGTGATCATTGTTGGGAATGGTGTCCTAGAAGCATGAGATGTAATAGGATATTTATTATTTATTTAATAAAGGAGTTTATTCATTATTTTATGTGCATATATTTATGAATATTTTATGAATATCAATAAAAATTCCATGATTATTTATGTAACCTTAAACATTGTATATAAGTGTTATATACAAGAGGATAATGTTTAAGGATAATAATCAAAAAACAATGTTCATAATGAATATAATTAAAGTTAATTAAAGTTATGAATCTTTAATTAAAATATTATTAATACATGTCATTCCCATTTAGAATGGAACGGTGTTATCCGCACTGTTAATATGGTGAGATATTGAATGAGTGTATTTCGTATAATGAGATTGTGTGGAACAAGGACACAGACACAATATGAATTTCTAATAATTTCCGTTAAGTATA